AAACATTGATTAATTGCAGTAAACTAACATATTTATTTAGTAATTAAATCATAATACAGAGGGTAAGTGAATTCGCTGTGAAAACAAAGATTGTAAAATTGAGTAATAATTTTATAAAAGAAAATTAAAAAAAAACTACAAACATCTTGACTGGCTTCCTCACATTAACAAACTACAAAAAAACAGTATTTTTTCATTTTTCAGTAGTTTTTATATTCAGTATTTTTTTTTATCTCAAAAAGTCACTGACACTAAGATTCCATTAACTATCATTACATATATATTTTTCTTGTTTAATGCCAAGTTATTCTTGAACCTTGGGTAGCTGTATAGGATGCTTGTAAGGGGTCTTGGAACTGACATTTGATGAAAGGAAAGACACATAATTGGACCACTAATGAAGAAAATGTGTGTTGAAAAATTTTAATGAAAATTATGTGTGGAAATTTATTTGTTACATAATTGGAAGTCATATAATGGATTTAGAAGTATTTCAATTAACAGTATCTTATGTATCAGCAGAAAGTTCTGAGCATGAATTTATTATGTATGACAAAGGCTGTATTTAAATCTCTGGTCTAGAAAAAATAAAAATAATTAATTTTTTTTTGAAAAATATAAAAAATAGAAGTATAAACAGAACTCACCACCATCAGTTCATGCAACTGAAGTCAAACATTTTAATACACTGTGTAAGTTACCTCACAAATATTTGCGATTGCAAAAGATTCTTCAGCAACTTTCTCTCATGTCGCAATTTGAATAAAAATCCTATTATAGGATCACAATCACAATAGAAATAATCTTCTATTTTCACCCTCAAAACTAACTTTTATTGAGACAATAGGTATTTTAATTATTTTGTTACATCTCACTTTGGTTATTCTATTAAGCCAGAACTAATTTGCAGACATTTGTAATATTTAAATAATTTAATGATATGAGATATCAAACATTTTCCAGGCCTATATACACAGGAAGTTTGATAAGCCATTACTCAATTACAGTCTCAAATATTTGCTGCAGTGTGAGCATGTAGAATGTAAAACAATTTGTTATTGATATGTACTTATCCTCAAAATAACTGCCTCCACGCATTAGCCAAGTTAAACTAATTTTGTAGAAATATTGAATAAGAAAAATACCCCCGCCGCAGCAAACCTGAAGACTAAGCGAATTTCCATTTGCATAATTGGATTTTCACTAAGATGCCTCCTTAAAAATATCAAATTTATTCCATATTTAAATAGAATTAGTTTAACGAGTACTTAGGTTTGCTGCAACAGGGAGGGTAAAAAAGTGATTTTTGTTGTAAAATGTTAATAGTTTAAAGAAACGGGTGTATTTTCCAAATTTGATCAAAATATGTTCATAAACAAGCAAACAGTTGACTTATTCTCCATAATATGGGAATTTTAAATTTACAATTTTTTTGGAATTTTCTCCGTAACCATTAGGGGCATAATAACGCTTCAATATACTAAATTATTTGTTTTTTAAGCTCTACAAAATGGGTTGGAAAGAAATTATAAAATATTGTGTTTTTAGAGTCGAAAATGGGAAAACCCTATTTTTACCCCATAAAACCCCCCATAAACCCCCGTCCCATAGTCCAATCATTCTGGTTCGCAAACTAGTTAGAATAAATGTAGGTTTTGTAGCACTCAAGTGAAAACACACTTACAATAACATTATCACTCCTTACATCAACCAACAGCACTTTAGAAACTCCATTCAACTACGAATAGCATCCAAACTGAAAGAGTACCGGTATATAATGTGTGTCACAACTAGTTAGTTAATAAATATTAATAAATCAATAGTAATTTAGTAATATACCTACCAGACAATCAAAGCCATAGCATTTAAGTAGAAAACATTAGATTTTTTTCCTTTTATCCTCAGTAAATTAAATTTCTTTTTTTTATTAGGTAGAACACTTTCTTAATGTTAGTAAAATCTTTTAGATCATAAGTATCAGTACCTTAAGTAGAGTAGTCGCGATCGATTTTTACCGAATATTTAGGGAATATATCAGTGATAACAAAGACCAAAATAATTAAACATCAATCAAAACAATCTCCAAATTCACATCTCAGTCAACGTATCCTCAACCTTAAAATAAAGGAAACATCTAATAACACTTAAAACATAAATTTACGCTTATACTGTTACTCACAAAACGGTACATAAAAGATGGTAAGTAGTGATCGATTTCGATTGGACACTTCAATCATCATCAGACCCAATAGGCGAATGACAAGAATCCAAAGGACTCAAAGGGACGCCATTTTGATTCTTGTCGTTCGCCTATTAGGTCGGATGATGATTGGAGTGTCCAATCATAATCGATCACTACTTACCATCTTTTATGTATATTTACCGTTTTGTGAGTAACAGTATAAGCATAAATATATGTTTTAAGTGTTATAGGACGTTTCTTTTATTTACTTTATGTAAATTTATTAAAATGTACAATGCTGATCAAGAAGTTATTTAGTAATTCCCGCTCGCTTGATCAGCTGATTTCACTCTTGGTGTTTCTATAAAACGCTAACATCTGGTAAGCAAACAACATAACCTAAAAAAAGCAAACATAGAATAGAATCTGTTATTTTTAAAGACATCGGGTGCCATAGCCTAAATTATAGTTTATTTACAGCTAAAAAGTTAATCTGCGTGTTATGATAAGTTATGGTGATACTGATAGGAAAAATCTTGTGTGCACTACAAGCACTAACCATTGACCGCTCTCAAAATGTTCATCTACAGTTCTCAAGCGGCAATGACATACTTTGCGCACTTAATACACAAATTGTTGACAATATATTCAATACAGGTATATTGCTAAGAACAAGAACCTATAAATGGCAAAGTCATAGCTCATCCAACTTTAATTTAGATTCCATATTTTTGCTTCTTGGTAAATAAAGACATTTTAGTTCTGGAATAATATAATTGGTTGAGTAGACTCATACTTGATATAAAGATGGCTAGAATGGGGACAGATCTCTCACATGATTAAGTTAGGGGAGAGGGGAGTGTTATAAGGGAGCTGTCTGGGCCTCATTTTATTTACCATTTCCCCTGCAGACCTATCCAGTTGTGTACACTTCTACCTATGAGGTTTATGTATGAGGCATTTATCCTATGAGGTAAATTCAATTGACCAAGATTTTACGAGGGTGAACTCGGATTTGATGAATTGATATGCATGATGAATTCACTCACTGATGTGAGTGGTCCATGAAACATTGTTTCAAATTAAACGGAGAATAACACACTGTACTTTACATTACTCCACCTAATATTGTCCAAAGAATCATCGATCATGATGTGAAAGTAAAACTTGATGACGTAGACTTAAAGATGAGCAACATTGCCAGGATTTTGGGCATAATTATCAGCGATCTTAGTTTCACTGATTACATCACTAAAATTTCTTAGCTGGCTTTGCGTAGAATTCGGGGTCTGTACAAATAACAAATTACCATATTGGAGACAGTAAAGTTAAGATTGGTTTAGTCAGTAATTTATTTTGTATTCCCTTCCCTGCTTATGGAAACCTCATCACCATTGATAATGTAGACAGGCAAAGACTTCAGAACAATGCAGTGAGGTTTGCTTTAATTGTATAACGGTATTTGACATGGGTTATCCTGTATGTAGTCTGTATGTTTAGGAATAAAAGGTATTTCTGTTTTTCATCCCTTTTTCAAGAACCTGTGTCGGGACATAAAAACTCAGTTTATTATTAATCGGAAATTGATTTTCGACACTTAACTACATTTTGTTACGAGAGAGTTTGAGTATGGCATATCTATACCTTGATGACAAATGCGGGGAGTAAAAATTAGTATATAGTCGTGACTGAGAATTCCCCAGTTTTTCATCCCTTTTGCTCTTATTATAGACTGCCCTACTCTCTTCGGTTCGGCACACATCACACGGAATGCTGACACCTCTTGTCAGTAGAACAATCAGGCCATGCTACGACCAAACCATCGAACGTGATGTAGCAAATGTACCAAATATTTTTTGACACTAAACAAAAACCCAATCGAATTCCAACACAATGCTGGCTAGTGGAATTGTATCACGTTTCTCTTCCCAATCGCCAATTGTGCAAATAGCTTACAGTAAACCTTCATTGATCAAGACTAGTTAAGTTCCATGTTGTCTGTACAGTAGAGTCCCGTTAGTCCGAAATGGTTGGGACCGGGCCCATTTCGGATTACCGAATATTTCGGATTAAATGTTTTTTTTATTTTATTTTATTTTTTAGTCTTACTTCTTACTACTTTTTTTCGGACGCAGGCACGAGCCCGGGATTGTTTTTCACATTACTTAAGGCTAGACCTATTGGCTGCAGCATTATCACTTAATAAAATCCATTTGTGATTTGGCGGACGAAAATGTAAAATGTTACAGTAATAACAAAAATGGTGAAATATTTACTAAAATACTCTACAAAAAAGTCTATCTCGCCCGGCCGCTACAGAATACTTTGACGAGGTACAGCTAACTGTGTCAAAAGTAAAAAAAAAATTCAAAAAAATTTCAAAAAATTTTCAAAAAAATTTTTTTTAATAAAAAATATATTTTTTGGTTTCAGATTAAGCGGACTTTTGGATTACCGAAGTTTGGATTATCGGGACTCCACTGTATTAAATAAAATATTCTTAATATGAAGAAAAAGACACACACACACAAGAGATGGTTACAACTGCTGAGAAACGGTTATCCAGATTAAGCAAAGTCCCATTTTAATGACGGTTTACTGTACTAATTTTGGCTGATTTCAATACAAAAAACAATTAATACACAAATTTTGGTTGTGTTGCTAGCCTAGTGGTTAGCGTCTCGGAATTCGGTGCGGGAGGGACGGGTTCAATCCCCGGCACATCCACTAAAACATTTATCTCTCGTAACTCTCGTGAAATGCCACTGGCGTAAAAAAAAAAAAAAAAAAATACAATAACATTTTCAACAAATCTTACCTTAGCTTCTAGTTTGCTGATTTCTAGTTGGAACATTGACTTTTCTTGTTCAAGCTTCTCAAACTTGGTTTTAAGGTTCTCAAGCTCTTCCTAAAAAGCAAAAAATACATTATTAAGGAGTTATTTACATGTAGGGATGGACAGGTCTCGAAATTTTCTAGAAGTTTTAAATTTTGATCTAGATTTTATTTTTATTAAGATTATAAAAAAAAAAAAAAACAGTAAAAAACGCCTGCAAAAAGTAAGTGCATTAACCGCAATACAGGAGCGTGTTGTTGTTGCGTTTCCTTTGCAAGGGCGTTCTTATTTTATTAATTCTTTACATGTAACCAATGTAAACCAATGTTTACATAAAACCAAACCAGTGTAATCAATGTTTATGTGCTTTAATTGTTTTATAATTTTTTGTTTTGACATCGCAAATGATGAGAAGTTTTGTTAAGTGTAAGTAGTGTGAGACATGTTTCACTACTGTAAACATAGCCAAAACAAGTCACTCCAAATTCATTCTAAATTAACAGAAGACTGAATAAATTTTACTTGATAGTAAGACTGATAAATTTGATATTTTTCAAAGTTGATCTATATCCTAATTGATATCACCATGTAACCTATGCGTAAGAGTTATTTTTAGTAAGTTAGACCTAATTATAACATTTGTTTTTTTTTACTGATGATTTTTAGGCTAATAAAAGATTTGAAATATTCTTGCCTATTATTATTATTACTGTATTTGACCAGTTATTTGTCATAAATCAATAGGTATAAAAGGGAAATCCAGTCTCGATCTCGTCTTAAAATCTTATGAGAAATAACAAATCCTGTCTTGTCTCGAACTAAAAATCCAATCTCGTCCATCCCTATTTAAATGTTTATTTAGATTTTATGAGAACCAAAGCAGCATAACACATAAATCCCTGCTGCAGCAAACCTGTAGACCAAACAATATCTATTTATTTACAAATTATTTACACTGACTCAATCTTACGATGGGGAAATGGGTTTTGTACCCAAAACTTTTTTATTTTTACTTAACATTTACAAATCCTATATTTCCTCTTCTAAACGTTTAAAAATATTAGACATTTCCATATTTTGTCCATGTTTTCTGTTTTTTCATTAATTTCTTTAGTGCATTACTGTAGGATTGGATAATCAGAGTTCCAGTAATCACAAATCATTAATCAATAAACAGTTAGGCCTACTAAAGAAATAACTATATTTTAATTTTAATTTTTTATTTTTGTATTTATTTTTATTTCTATTTTATTTTTACTCTCAATACTTGTAAAAGTTAGTTTTTTAAGTACTTAAGTTTGTAGTTCAATGTAAATTTTTATATTTATACATACAGATTATTTTACTTTGACCTATAACACACAAGAGCATTATCAGTAGAAAAAAGACAAACAGTACACAAAGATCCAGAGCAAACATAATAAAAAACTTAACCAAAAGGTTTTTTACAATTCTGTCAACTTCTACAGCAAGAAAACCTCCTGATGAGTCATTTCGAAGAAGTTTGGACTATCCGATGTCCGAACCAGCTGACTTCGGACAAGTCGGAACCAATAGTAACACTAATCTACAAATTAACGACACTACAACACTTACAGTTTTTGAGCGAAGTTCCTCCTCAGTTCGGTGAACGTTGAGTAACGGCATGACCCTAACCAGCAACCTCCACCACGGCCAGTCTCTAACACTGAGAAACTTGCGTACATTCCGCTGTATACATCTGACTGCCAGCTGTTCAACCTGCAGACACAAGTTGAGTTAGGTGACTGGGTGAAAGGTTGTTTGAGACACAAAATATAGTACTATATAAGCAAATTGACAACTTAGCCCTTGATTGACCCTTCAGGGAAGTCTTAGATTTAAAACACGATCGGTGACACAACAAGAGTGTCCAAGTATTAAAACATTAGGCTAAAAATTTAATTTTATACACAAAAGGTATAAAAACCATGTATAACCAATAGAAGAGTAACATACATTAATCAATAAAAAAACTTACTTGACATATTTATAAAAAAAATATATCGAGAAAGGGTGAAATGATGTTTAGTCGGTTCCTAGAAAGAGGTGTGTAAGGTACGTTGTTCTTTAAGCTGCCAGCGAGCAATAAAGCATTTTTTCTATAAAAATGCGTCCGGAAGAGAAGTCTATTTTGAAACCCATTAAGGGTTAAAGATGTAATCAACAACTTGGTGTCTAGACTGTTGATTTATTTCTTCGCCAGCGTAGTGAGCTTGTGGGTATACATGCCGATGTTGTGAACAAGCAGACAATTTCTAAGGGTAGATTTCACAAAGTATAAGTATCTCAATTTCATGCTCAACTTTTTAAAACCAATGAATAATCAAATGACTTTAAAATATTTACGCCTTTTTCAAGGTCTCCAAAAATGATTCTTACAATATCATAGATGTTTACTTATGAGCCTTCAATAAGATAAGTTCCAAATTACAAGGTTGCAGCATTATAGCTGGCATAGCTTTCTTCAACTTATTCCATGATATATTTGTACAAATTTCATGATGAAAGAAACTCTACTTTGGATTAAAACGTTTGCTGCTAAGGGCTAGATGAAAAAGGTCGCGACGGCGTCAGGAGCTGAACTAGCGCTTGCCGCTGCATAACATCCCCGCTGATACACTGAATTACAGTAAAAACAACAGTAGTTATACTGGACAGCAATGTTCTGTGGATAGCAATAAAACTGGTTTTGGACATAGTACTAAGCGATTCTGATAAATAGCAGCACTACCCAGGTTGCAGTTGGTAAAGTAGTGTCACTATCTAGCAGGAAAGAGCCCTGTTCAAAACGACACTGGTGGTGATTTTGGAAAACTATATTTTTTATTGTCAGAAAAGTACGTCCCCACGAACTGCAAAGAAAATAAATATATTTAATATAGGACGCTCATAACGAGCCTGCTGATCCATGGAAACGTTAAACAACAATGAACGTTGACGTACCGGAACGTTCCTAGCTCCTGACGCCGAGGCCCCGCTGACGTTCCGGAACGTCCGAAGCAGCGAATGTGTTAAGAAACTCCTCACAATGGGCTACCGTATTATATATTTAAACTTACACTTTAATGAATCACGGATTCTCAAATGCAAACATAACGATAACTAAGACTTACCTTGCGTTTGGCAAATCTCTTCCTGGCCAAGTAGCCGCGGCAGTGGGCCTGGAAGTGGACGACTCTTCCTGCGAGTTTCTCATCTCGTTGGGACTCCAGCCGTGGCAAAACACCCGCTCTGAAGAATATCTGCAACAAAGGCAAGCCCGTAAACAACCAGAAAACACCCCTTCTTCATTTCACGTTCATTTTTGGTAATGGTAAGATGGAAAGATCTTAAAAGGTTCTACCCGGAGAACTGTAGAGTAGTCTAAAAAAGTAACAACAATCCTGAAAGTAAACACCAAGTAAATATTGAGGGTAGGAGAAGACAAAGTACCTCCATGTGGTGGCTCAAGAAAAGCTGAAGAGTTTAAGCTCATCTCGTACTTAAACTCATCATTTTCATATCAAATCAAGCTCGTACATTTTTGTGAAAGGGACTTCTTAAAAGTCTAAGTTAAAGAGAGAGACAAATTACATTTCCTGTTCAACCTACACTTAGAAGTCAGGACAATATATCAATATTATGTTTGTGCAATTTTACTGTGAATTTACATACAATTATAATTTCCCTGGACATTATTTTCATAAAGACGTGTATGTTACAGCTAAAAGACTATTAACTAATAAACATGTAAATCTAACACTAATCTTATTTCAAATAATTATTAAATAGTTCTTATTTTGTAAATCCATTTTTATATTTTACAAGTTTTTGGGTTCTATCAAAAGATGTATAATAACTTGTCTTTGATGAATAAAAAACAAAGACTATTAGTTATTAATTAAAAAAATCAAAACTATAATCTTCAATCGAGCAGGTACAAGAGATGAAGTAAGACGAGAAGAAGCCAGCGTAAGCAGTTGTCATAGAAACACTGAACGTGCATATCACGACAAGGCTCAGATTTTGTCTACACCACTTCCTTCAGTAAAACTTAGTATCACTTGTCTGTGAAATATGTCTATTTATCTGTCTGTAAATAAGATATGTTTCCAAACCATTTTTGGTGCTATAAAGCAATTGATCATAGAAAGAACGCCGCTGGTTTAGTATTTTTCCTACAACCATCAAAATCTTCCCTTCGGTTAAATTTCCAACACAATTTGAATATGGTTCTCCAAAACTGAACGGTTGTGCAGAACTTTACCACAATTCATAGAAGATTATTTAAAAAACTTTGAGAGAAAAACATTCCAACATTTGTAGAAGATAATTGGCGCAAAGACAAAGGTATTATGAAAATTGTACCCTTAACAATATTATATTATAAGTTTTAAGTACAGTAATAATATTTTATCCCAAGCACTAATTAAAGTGTTACTACAGCTAGAAATAAATATATCGTGACTTTTATATAGCAATTAATTTACAAAACATGATCAATTACCTTCGCATTACACGCTTCCAAGCGCTACAAACAGATAAAATTAATTAATTTAAAATTCTAGAAAGTTTACTTTCTCCTCTGCAGTTTCTTATAAGGGATTCTTTGTTGATTTGTTTCTGACGAAACATTTAATTTAGATGATATTATTTTTCGACAACAAAAATACAAATTTTGATGAAAATTTTTAACGAATTTATTGTTATTGGTAATTATGTTAAAATGGTACGTCATAAAGCAATTAAAAATATAATAATCGTAGATGGTCAAAAGTGAATATTTAATAATGGATTATTCAAAACTTGGTTTGCAAAAACGAGTATTATTAACTTGTCAAAGGATTATAACAGTTGATGAGCATTCTTAAGTTCCAAATGTTTTTAAATGTAAAAGGAGAAAGATATATAATTAAACTTTCCCTTCAGGGAGTTTGAAGTCCTACTGTTAAACTCTCTAATTATACAGGATGAAAGCATGCGAGATTAAATGAATGCATCAGCAATGTTAGTTTACTAGGAGTTTTTCAGTTAGTCAGCTAGTAAGTAATGTTTTAGTGCCAATAATGAGAATTGTGTCATTAGAATTCCTTTTGAGAAAAAAAAATAGTATTCTCTTTTGTTTTATTTCCATCAAAGCTTAACCCTTTGCGGTCGAATGGTGAGTATAGGTCGCCATCCGCCATTTTGCCGACTGCTCAAAAATGGCATGCTATAAGGCAAAAAAAAAAAAAAAAAATTATATCAAACATTAAAAAAAGTTAATTTTTGCGGTCGAATGGTGAGTATAGTTCACCGGGTGCCATTTTTCAGACTGCTCGAATAGCAAACTATACTCGCAATAAAATGGAGAAAAAATTCGACCTCAAAGGGTCAAAGCATTTTAAAGCTTTGTATTTGTCGGAAAACCTTGTTATACATACTGAAAATTATTGTATGACTTTTAGAGAATGGAGATCTCCTAATGGACTCGGCTGAAGAAGGGCTCTATACCATCAGGATATGGTACGATCATTAGCAAATCACCAATAGTGATAGAATTGAACCCCTAGGATAAAATTAACACGTTATAACATATACCAAAGATGTTCCAGGCGCTTTGTTTTTACAGGTCAATATCGCCATAGCAACCCTTAACTTAACGAACTACCCTTATCCGATATAGCGTAGTTTTTCCCTACATTTTGAAAACCTCATTTTACTAAATGTAAAATTTGCAGACGTTTATTGTCTAGTAACAGTAATAGCCAATTTGCTATTTGCCAATGTTCTGATAGCAAAAGTCTCGAGTATCGAATTAAAACACAAAATTGTATTGAATTTTAGCTTCCTGATTGCATTTAAAAATATAAATTGGTGCAAAGACCTGAATTTATACAATTCATCATGAATCTGCACTAATTTATATTAAAACATAAAGAAAATAACCACTTTCAAAAATTGGTAGCGATTTCAAATATATAAAACTTACTGCAATTAGCATGAAAACTTTGGAATTAACTAAATTTTGACCATGTTTCAACAAAATTTTGTTTTTTAAAACACCCCAGTATAACAGATATTTAGGTTGAACCCTTGATACATGCTGAACTGAAGTTCAACAGAATACAAACTGAATTCTCGGTCTTTGCGTGAGAGTCGAATCAAGTCTGTATTTACACTATTTTTTAGTAATTTCATCCAGTCTATGAGATGCAACTTCAGTAGTGAAGCTGAGACCAGAATACAAATTTTATCCACAGCTAAGAAACGACATAGCTTAACAGCAATATGTAGAGGTACAACAATATATCTAAAAAATCTTAATAATTTGATATTTTACTTCTTAGCGATTGTAAATAGTTAAAACTTACTGCAATTAGCATAAAAACTTTAGAATTGAATGAATATAATAAGAAGCTTGATACTGGTAGTTTATAGCTAAACTAAGTTGTGATAATTAAAAACTATTGAAATTCCTAAACGTAACAACAAAATGCATTCATACCTCACATTCAGTTCTAAAACGCCGGTCAGAGATTTGTTTACCACTGCTGACGCAGAAAGCTGTGAACAGAAGACAATTCTTGTCTATCCTCTGTCCCAGACAGTCCAGTACTTTAGGTAGAGAAGTTGAACTCAAAGTTACAATTGACGCTTTATTGTTACCAAACAAACATTCACCCTGTTTTGCCCTAAGTTTACCATTAGGTACTAGGTAACTGGAGACCACGGGCATGTGTTCATGCTGTATCCTACCCAGCATCACTCGGTGAGTCACTATCCATGCACTATCAGCAGCGTTAGTCGTGTCAGCTATGTTATTGTTTACACCATTATCTTTACACATTACCCTAGGCAATGCTGAATGCCGCTGCGTTTTCCTAGGAGACATATCCAACGTCTTATTCTCACTTTTTTTCACACTCACTTTATCCTCGTCTATTTTGCAACACATTTTCGTCCTGTTCACCAACGTAGGTTTCACCAAAGTTTTGTCGTTTTTCAAGATGACTTTTACATCGTTAGTTTTCGCCGGGCGAACGCCGTTATCAAACACCCGTTTTTTATCACTCGCGGTCACACTTTTAGCTGGTATCAGTTTATCGACAATTTTCGTAGTCTTTTGTTTCTCGCGAGGATCCGCCTTCGGTAGTTTTTCCTCGGGAGTTTTGACGATGTTCGGTTCGTCCAGTCGCAGCTCGACTCCCGCGGGTTTCCGAGACTTGGGCTGCGGGATCTTGGAGATCTTGGGCGCGGGCATGGCCGCTTGTAGAGCGAGAGCGGTGACGAAGACTACTGCCACTCCGACTACCAGTAGTAGTAGCAGAGTCGGCACCATGACGGCATGGCGGACGGCGCGGCACTAGCGAGCCCGTAGGCCGTGGACTGCCTACGCACGTACCTCGCCCGTCGGCCCACACACACACACGTCCCAACGTCCATTTTATTGATCTTAAACACGAGTACGACGAAAACCTTGTTCCGATCACACTAATTTCCACATTTTTTCACATCCCGCATTACCATAATAGATTACAAGGAAAGAACGCAACATCTACAATAGGTTAAAATCTAACTCGTTTGCCTAAAATCTACTATTAATGGCCTATCTAGCTATCTTGAAAACTACTACAATTAAATAAAATAACTTTCTTTTAGGCGCACTTAGGGCACATAAGCCTTAATAATAGTTAATTTTTAAGAGCAGTTCAAATAAAACCTTTTAAAAAAGCATCGTTGTAATAGCATCACAAACTAAAGGGCTCCATCCGATCTAAGATGAAATTACAGCGTAAACAATCAAACGTAAACATTAGAACAAGAACATAAGTTTGCTGTACTGTGACGCGTTCTTTGTTGTGCATACGGCGCCTATTATTACAACATTTGAATCGCGTCGTACACCGCAAGCCGAATATTTTTCAATTGGCAAGTTATTATTTAGTTTTGTAAACTAACTAACGTGGCCTTCCCGAAGTTTCATCAGTGGGCCAAACATCATAGCAACTTCATCCTAGCAAATACGGGGAAAAACTTAAGTATATTTTCGTGTTAAGATAAGAATGTCCACACCTAGAAGTGATTCAGAAGATCGCCGCTCGGCATTCTGTAGTGATCCGCTCAACGCTCAAGCGCCAGGATATTCACTCTAATCCCAGTTATCCCTCAGTTTGTATTTTATAACCCTCCAGTAATGTTCATAAATCCCCCTAAATCCCACAGTTTGTTATAAAAAAACAAATTAAACATCGCCCAACGATCATTTATTAACTGTCCTATT